CGCTCCATACTTCTTCAGGCGTCATATTTTTAATAGCAAGTGTAGGACCTTTGTTCAATATATGAATGCTCCAGTTGAGTACTTCAGGCCAAAATTTTTTTGAAACACCATTTTTTGTCAAAATGCTTCTCACTATATTTAATATTGTACGATTCTTTATTTCTAAAACACCATTCTGCTGTGGCGAATAGACTGTTGTAAGCTGCTTTTGAATTTCATACTCTTCACAAAAATTTATAAATTCTTGTGAGTTATATTCTCCACCACGATCACTGTGAAAAAATTATATGGACTTGCCTGCTTCCTTTTCGACAAGAGTCATGAATTTTTTAAAAGTTGAAAATGTTTCAGAATTTTTTTACAAAAAATAAACCTAAATTTTTCGACTATAATCATCAATAACTATCATAAAATAACTTTTTTTATCATTAGATGTTGGATTTATGGGTCTGCATAAATTAGAATGAACCAATTTCAATACATCATTTGTTCTCCATGATTTTTCTTTTGGAAAACTATCCCGATGTTGTTTGCTAATGACACACTCTTCACAAACTTCTGAAGGAATTGTGATTTGAGATAGACCAGTCACCATATTTTTCTACTGCACATCCTTTAATCCACCAAAATTCAGGTGTCCATAACAAAATTGTTATAACCATGTCACATCTTTCGATTTTATTGAGAAACATGAATGAATCAAGTTCTATAAATAGAGTGGGAGTATACGATTTGCCGTCATCTTAACTTGAGCAATTAAATCCAACTTTACACCTCGAACACGACATACAACATTTTTGATAAAAATCTCGTGCTCTTTTTCTAACAAGTGACTCATGCTAAGCAAATTTGTCTTTAAATCTGGAACAAAAAGGATATCAGTGATAGTGTGAGTAGAAGAATTTCCTTTAGTTTGAATAGTTACCCTTCATTTTTCCATAATCGAAATTGTAAAGTTATCACCAAACTCGGTAGTATTACGGAATGACTCGTCCAATTCAGAGAATGTCTTTTTATCTCCACACGTGTGATTACTGCAACAAGTGTCTAAATACCATATGTTTTATTGAGTTTCTTCACTTATGTGACACACCATCAAAAGAGATACTTCTTTTTTTTTTCTGTAAAATTAGTCATTTCTCTATTTTGTCTATTTAAATTAGTTCGACATTCGAACTGATAATGACCATACCTATGACATTTGTAACATTCAACATTTGACTTGTTTGCTGCCTTTGGCCTTTGAATTGTTGATGGATGGCCTCCCCGTCCTCTTTTTCTTTCTTGAGATTGATTTTCTTGGTACTAGTATTGTTGTTATTGGTTACCACGATCATTGTTTCCTCTACCTCTGCCTCCTCTCCATGTTGAGTGACTTTCGGTTGAAGTCTTCAATGCTGGCTCATCTTTCTCTTATTGGTTAACTTTTTGCTCATGAACCAACAAAGAGCTTTGCAACTCATCAATCGAAATTGCATCAATATATTTCAATTCCTCAATATAGCACACAACAAAATTAAATTGTGCTGTCATCGATCGAAATATCTTCTCGACATCCTCCAAATTCTCTCCATAGATCATCATCTTGTTAGCGATTGCCATTATTCTTGCGAAATAATTTGTAAACGATTCGCTTGATTTCATGTGTAAAGTCTCAAATTCGGTCCGAAGAACTTGAATCTACACCCACGTCACCTTCGCATTTCCTTGATACTTCTTCTTCATGGAGTCCCAAATCTATTTGAAAGTATCTTTGCTAAGAATTGTCTCCAAAATAGCTCGATTAATAGCTTGAAAAAGATAATTTTTGCCTTTAAGATCTTTCAACTTCAATGCTTCCCAACTCTATTTTCTGCATCTCTGATAATACTACTCCGGTTGTTGGCTCTGCTACTCCAAATTCGACAACCTGTCAATATTCCTTAGATCTCAAGATGCTCTCCATTAACATGCTCCAATGATCATAGTGACCATCAAAACGAGAAATTACTGATTGCACAAAATTGTCAGTGGCCATCATAATTTTCTAACACAATTCTTACAACTCACTTTTGTTTTCACTCACGAGTCTAATTCCGATGCCACTGTTACAATTATTGAAAAAAATAATAAGAGAAACAAAGGATAAGAGTTTATTTTTTTTTTTAAAAGTGACATAACTCATAACATGAAATTGCTCTATTTATAAAGTTCAAACCAATTCCACTAACTATCCCACTAACTCCACTAACTATCTTAATAACTCCACTAACTCTACTAGTTACTCCACTAATTCCATTAGTTACTCCACTAATTCCACCAATTTCATTAATTAGGTAAAACAAAATAAACAAACATGATTAATTAACCACAGTTACTATTTCTAACAATCTGCAAGTCATTACCTAGTAGTATTTGAAATTGAAATAAATTATGACACTCGTCCCTGGGGTCGAAATCCATTTACCAAACACTCGTTAAGCTTCAGACTTAAAATACTCGTGTCCATTTTCTCCCGTTTGTAAGTTAGATAGCCAACTCTTTCAAGCGTCATCTTTTTAATCATAACAAAGTTAATACGGACAATTGGTTTACACCTTCAGAAAACAATTTCATATAGAAATAATACAAATTAATTTAGAGTAACTGCAGAATCCTATATTTTGGTCTTGAGCTTATGCTCTACTTAAATTGCATGATGCATTTATCTTCTCATTTTTATGCTCAGAAGCATAAAGTTTTGAACAAACAGTTGCAGTTGACCAATCCGAGTTCGGGGCAAGCAGCATTTTGTTGATGGTATGAGAGCATTCTTGATAATCCGGTAGACAAAAAGCTCCAATGAACTGTTTTTTTTTCCTTCATAATTTGACATTAAGAACTACCTCCAACAATTATTAGATGGCATAAACATTTCTTTATTAAATGCCTCAAGTTTTAACTTTTTAAAGTCACTAAGTATAATAGACAACTTAGAAAAAAAAAAAAAGAAACACGGTCCTATATAACATCTAGGAGGCTTTGACAATAATATCGATATGGATTTAGATATGACGTAGTATATGGTATGATTATATGCAATTTAATATATCATGAGATAACAATGTAGATTATATATTGAGGGTGTCTCAAACTGTGGTCCAATTTGTAAGTTTTACAAATATATATTGGCGCGAGGGTAGATTTTGAGTTTTTTCAAGATAATATGAATATAAGAATGAAATGAACAAATTAGAAACGATTTTTCGATTCGCGTAGATCAAACGAGGGGTGAAGTTAAGAGTCGAGCAAATAAAATCTAGGGATAATTGCAGAAACCTCCCCTGAGGTTTCTGACATTTGCACTGATCTTCCCTGTGGTTTGAAAAATTACACTGACCTCCCCTGAGATTACTAATCCTTTGCAAATTTAGTCCAAACGATTAAAATATTACTTTAGGGAGTAAAATTAGAATTTTGTACCAGATTTGCCCTTTGTACTACATATTCAATGAATGACAAAGTACTATAAATCAATTAACAATTAATAAATTTTAAGGAGTATAATTTATGGACAAATACACATTACTCATTTAAAGTACCAGTTCTTTACGAGTATTTTATTTTCAAATATTTAATTTATGATAAATATATCAATATTTGTAAGTAAAATTCAAAAATTGTTATAGTAATATTCTTGCAAAAAGGAAATCGATAAGCTATTTATTTAATATAAATTAAATATTTTTTTTAAAAAATAAATGGCCCATAAAGTATTAATTTTTTATGGCTTTCATTAATTACACGAGTAAAGTATTCGCTCTTTGTGTGCATTTTATTCTGAATCATTTAATTTATGTTAAATACATAAATGTTTGTAACTAAAATTGAAAAAGTGTTATATTAATATTTTTACTGAAGAGAGATTGGTAGTTTTTGTATTTAACAAAAATTAAATATTTGAAAGTAAATACAAATATGTATTTGAGCATAAATATTTGTATTAAATTAAATGTTTGAAAGTAAAATACCCATAAAGAACCGATACTTTAAATAAGTAATGCATATTTGCCTACAAGCTATACTCCTTAAAGTTTATTAATTATTAATTGATTTGTAATATTTTGTCATTCATTAGACATGTAGTACAAAGGATAAATTTGGTAAAAAATTCTAATTTCACTCCCTAAAACAATATTTTAATCATTTGTACTGAATTTGCAAAGGATTAGTAACCTTAGGGGAGGTCAGTGTAATTTTTCAAACCACACGGGAGGTCAGTGCAAATGTTAGAAACCTCAGAGGAGGTTTCTGCAATTATCCCTAAAATCTAATATAGTCTTATCCATTTCCCACTTTCAATTTTTAAGATAAGGAAAGGAACTTGGAAGACAAAAAAAAAAAGAAAAAAAGAAAAAAAGGAAAAGATTGTTATTATTATTTTATCTTGAATAAAGTTTGTAGAATTATGTTCCTAAGGCAATTTATTCGATTTTCTCAAACTGCATTGTCAATACAAAGATCTAAACAGTAATGAGATCATAAGAACAGTACGTAAAACAACTCCAGTGTCGAAGAAATAAAGCGACGGTCAAAATATATAAGTTGACAATAAACGCTCAATTAAGGGAATTTAACCATTTTCAATAAAGGGCGGAAAATTCTTTTGTTGGCAACATAATTAGCAAGAAAATTTCCAAAATTTCGAAGTTGAAGAAAAAGATATTGCCTTTTCCATCTGGGTTCTCAATTTCATTTCTATTTTATCTTATAAATAACTCATTCATGTGGAATTTAGCTCTATGAATGAAAGGGTGTTTGTATTGTAAAGTTGAAGTCTCTGAAGTTGAGGAATTGAATAATGGGTCGGTCTCGCGGAAATTTCCAAGCTGAGGAGGATCCCAGTCAAAGGTTTAATCGCTTAGCACATTAGATTGAATTCTTCATACTCCGTTCGTTCTTTCTTTCTTTCTTTCCTTTTTTTTTCCTTTCTTTTTGGGGATGTTTAACTGAAAATTTTCCAGTGTAATGGGTAAGCTTACTATCTGCCCGTGACCGGTTTTGTTTATGTTAAAGATGAAATTTTTGTGGTTAAAGTGAAAATTGGTGTTGCTTTATATGTGAAACGGCAGTCTTTCATGAGCAGATATTTGGGTATAAATTTGCATTCTTTTAACTGTGCATCGAATTGACTTGATGATTTGGTTTCATGCAACTGGGATGAGGCCTATTGTTTGGTTTTGCTAACTTGTTTAGTTATGCCTGGGAGGTTTGAATGAGGCTGTCTAGAGCTCACTCTTTCAGCAATCTAGGCTGGTTTTACGTAGCCATCTGAAAACCCAATGCTTCTTTCGTGTTTGAGTTTGTTGATTATTGCTTCTGCGCATGGGCTGGAGCAAGTAGCCTGTGACTGCTGTAAGACATACTTCATCGTTTTTCTTTTGTAGTAGTAATGTCACTGCTGAACGGGAAAGGATTTTTATTATGCCTGAGATTTTGGATTGATGCTGTCATCCGTTTGGGTGTAAAAAGTATGTATCCATTGCGTCTGTCTTTTGGATTGATTGCTCATTTTGCTTCTCTTCCATGGAGTAATTGTTTTGTACATGTTATTGTTTTTAAGGAAAGTATCTTAAATATGATCATTGTATGAACTGTTCTTCAGCAGTTTCGTGAGATTGCCATGTGTCAGCGTTTGATTTTAAAATGTACTTTTCTTTTCTTACCATTTTTGCAAATGCAGATCAAGGAGAAGAAAGAATGCCACTAACAGTGAACATTTAGAATCAGCAAATGCAGGTACTCCGTAGTTATTTAGGTTTCTGCAGAAATTCTTTAGACTGTGATACAATCGATTGTATATGCTGAGCCAAATGCTTTAAATGGACAATTAGCAGTTGCACACACTGGGATGGTTTTTGGAATTTCTTTATCATTGTACACCTTACTCATATGCTTGTCAACCTTAGTGAATAAAATTGACTGGCTTGTAATTGTACCAAAAGATGTCTTGTCTGGTCATTGAGTTGATTGATGAGAAAGTCTGAAAATATACATGTACCATTAGGTAGAGAGGCTTGGCAAGTACCATAGTGAAGTGGACTGGTGCTAAGGTTAAATAAGTGTTACCTTGTATCATCTTATATTGTGACTTGTTCCTCTCCTCCTGTGGCACTGGTTTGTGGTCACCCAGGTCAAGGGACGGCTGAAGGGAAAAGAGCGTTATACCACTGTAACTATTGTAAAAAAGATATAACGGGGAGAACTCGTATAAAATGTGCTGTATGTTCTGATTTTGACCTATGCATAGAGTGCTTCTCAGTTGGTGCTGAGGTGTATCCCCATAAAAGCAATCATCCATACAGGGTTATGGTGAGTACCTTCTCAACACAAACTTTTCTTTGAGACCTAATGATATAATGTGACATAGTCAATCTTACCTCTGATACCTTATCATGCTAAGGGGATTGCATATCATCCATGTTATCAATACCTAGAAGTGAGAGACTAATATTTTCTTTTCGCTTGAGAACTAGAAAGAAAATTTTTAACCAGGATTCTATGTAAAGTGGACCATATTGACCATGCAGTATCAAGTGCCGCTTAAAAACTCCAACAGCAATGTTAGTACAGTTTGACTGTTTGGCCTGCAATCTTGAACTTGTACAATCTTTTACTTTATTCTTCTGATGCTGCAAAACAAGAGACATTTCGTTTTGCTGTGTTAAGTTTTCATCTTAGACTGTTCTGTAAGCAACTTAGGGACATCTTAGGAACTATCTTCTCAAAAGACCACTTGTGGCGTAATAATGATGTTACTAATGATTATTTAGCTTGTCACTTGAACAGGATGTTCTTTCTTTTCCACTTATCTGTCCAGACTGGAAAGCTGATGAAGAAATGTTACTTCTAGAGGTGGTTTAAAATCTTGAAACCATAAGTGCTCAACTTGTCCCTTTCCGCAAAATTCTGTTGCTTTTGGTCTCTCCTTTTTGCAATTAATTGGAAACTGATCTTTCCTCACATCACTCTATAATTCTGTCTTGCTTCATGGGATTCACGGCAACTAGGGGATTGAAATGTATGGCATGTGGAACTGGGCAGAAGTTGGAGAGCATGTTGGGACAAAGACAAAGGAAGCGTGCATTGAGCATTTCAGAAATGCATATCTAAACTCCCCATACTTCCCTCTTCCAGTATGGCAAACATGATTAAGTTATCTCTGGGTTTTAAGTTTTCTTTGAGCGATAGGTACTGAAGAAAGTTTTCTCTCATTAGGATATGACACATGTGGCGAAAAATAGAAAGGAACTCCTTGCAACGGCAAAAAATGAAGAAAAGAGAGGTTGGTTATACCCCCCCCCCTCTCAAAACACAAAAACCCCCAACAACTATTTATAATTCTTTTAAATGCTACTATTATTAGTATTTGCTTTTTTTTTTTTTTTGCTTGATAAAAGAATTAAAAAGCCACATCTTGTAACCGTGGAGCTTATTTGGTTGGCTCATTTTGTTGACATCATAGGTCATGACTCTGTCACTTAGAGAAATAAATTTTTAGAGCCATCCCTATTTTGTAGACAGGCTTGCCAAGAAAAGCAATTGTTGAATTTTGACTTTCTTTAAATTTGAATGAGAAAAGCCAAAAGTGGAACATGAGAGACTGGATTGGTGTTTAGATAGAATTCCCTTTGCCATAACCCATCAATGCCTTGAAGTCGTTCTTGTTATATTCATTATACTATGTTTCTTTAATATAATAGCAATACTGCTGGCTGTTATAGGATTTTCTGCACTCGGAGAACTTACACCAAAGGATGAATCTCAATTTTCCCCATCAAGAGTCAAGTATGATTGCTGTAGTTTTTGTGACTTGGTGCTTCCGCTTATCTTTTGAAAATTCTCAATCCAATTTCTCTGCATTTTTGTTTGATTAGAATTGAAGACCAACATAAAAGTGGTCCTTCAGGTCGTCTGCCCTCTGCTGTAAATGCAGGTAGGGCAAAAGTTAAATTTACATCTAAATTTTACTCACCTACTTGTATGAGATTCCAGGGACCCTTTTATCGACATGAATGCTGCAGGTACCACAGGTAAGAAAAAGGCATCAAACAAGGTCCAGGTCAGGGATCGACACGATTCTATGAAGCCAAAAGGTAGCATTCTCGTCTTTCCTTTGGGGGTGGCTACTAGCAATTTGATTGACATTCAAAAACTTGGAATAGAGTCAGAGTCTGCAAGGGAAGCAAGAGTTTGGGGGATGGGTGGGAATAGAGTTGTCCAAAGATAATCTTTTTAAGAATTGTTGTCGAGGTCCAATTGGAGTGTAAAATCAGAACGATAGTGATTGACTTTAATCACGATTATAGAGTCAGAGCATGCAAGGGAAGTAAGAGTTTGGGGGATGGGTGGGAATAGAGTTGTCCAAGGATAGTTTTTTGAAGAATTGTTGTCCAAGTCCAACTGGAGTGTGATATTAAAACGGCAGCAATTGGTTTTAATCAAGGTTATAATCCCTGTTAAAATATAATTGACCATAATATCATGGCAAGACGGAAGAATGCTACTATATAAAGGAACCAAGACTTGACGACCTATATGGGTAGACTGGAAGAGGGATAGGTTTTTGCTATTGACACAAGAAGTTTTTAAATTGCTCATGGTATATTTAACAGGCAAGAGTTTTGATAACAATAGATCCAACTGTTCAAAGGATGAAGGCCCTTCCCTGATGGAACTAAGTGGATATAATCCAAAAAGACAAGAATTTGACCCAGAATACGATAATGATGCTGAGCATTTACTGGCTGATATGGAATTTAAAGAAACTGACACTGAGGAGGAGCGTAAGTTGAAGTTGCGAGTACTGCATATATATTGGAAGAGGTATCTCGTTATTATCTCTGTTTCCTAGGAATTTCGTCATTGATTCTTTGATTGTTTGAACTTTGTTTTTGGAGATGAGAAAAGAGAATTGATAAATATACAATTCAATTGTCTTCTTTTGTTTCTTTATGATTGGTAAATTTCCTAGTCATCCATCTGATTGTGATAACAGCATTCACTAGTCACAATTACATTGAAACTTAAACTAATTTCTTTAATATTGTATGTTCAATGTACTCCTTACCACAGGTCAGCACTTCTGTAATTTGCTGAAGATCATTACAGTTGACTATATCCATTCTTTTCCCTGAGAATGTTTCAAGAAATTGCTTTAATTCTTTTTTTGTTTGTTTAATCATATCGAATAACTTGTCAAGTTCATCTTGGCAGGCTTGATGAGCGAAAACGTAGGAAGGATTTTATTCTAGATAGGAACTTGCTCCATCAAGATGCATTTGAGAAGGACCTGTCTCAGGAAGAGAAGGTTTTGTGCAGACGTTATGATGTCTTCATGCGTTTTCATTCCAAAGAGGAGCATGAAGAATTACTAAAGGCAACTGTTGCAGAACATAGAACTCTTAGAAGGATTCAAGAACTTAAGGTCCATTTGCTTTTACGTTCAAAGCTCCATGAAAATTTGATCCATGTTTTTCTGAATGCCTTTATTTCTCATCTTTTATGTTGTTTCGTAGCTTTTCTTCTTAAGAGTAAAAAGAAATGTCCAAGCCTAGATATTTACAAATCTTGTGTTTAATGTGCTTGTTTTTAGGAAAAAACTTGTGTTCCTCCGTGTTGAAATTCTTTTGCTCTCTCTCTCTCTCTCTACCCACCAAAGGAAAAAGAAATAAAAAGAAGTTCAATTGACACATAATTGTTGATGGCTAAACAATGACTTATTTTACTTTATAATGACCCGAAGTAAAAAAAATATGCAGGAAGCACAAGCTGCAGGGTGTCATTTTTCAAATGATGCTGACAGATACTTAGACTGGAAAAGAAAGAAGGAAACTGAACTGAATGGTTGTGATGATGGAGGAAACAGTATGGCTTTTCTTAATGGCCCTGTTGCTTCAGACTCCACTGATGCATATTCAATCAATTTGGACTTCGTATCATTTTCTGAGGCAGAACTGCTCTCTGCATCTGTAAGTTTGCTGTTTCTGTTTCTAAAATCGCTTTTGCACCTTTTCTAGAAAGGATGAGGCCTTCTAAATCTGGTATATTCATGAAGTAACCTTTTTCTATGAGACATTGTTCCCTTGGTGGGTGGCCTTCTTGCTTTGTTAGTAAAGCATTAAGGGGTTGAACAAGTTGTTAAAAATTGGATATGGACTTCTCAAGATTAGCCATTGACGAAGTTATTCAAGGTAAATATCCAGCGTTCATAGTGGATATTGACTCGAGGGAAAAATATTTTGGTCATCTGTGTCCTTCAAAAAGGTGGGGGCATGAGGTTGGGTTTGTTAAATAGCATATTCTTACTATTTTCTGCTTTTATTGGTGCTCGAACAGAACCAGTCAAATCTCATTTGTGCTGCAGGAGAAACGTCTTTGTGGTGAATTGAGGCTGGCTCCTGCTCAGTATCTGAAAATGGTGGAGGTCATGACGACACAGATCTTCAGTGGAAATATTACCAAGAAATCTGATGCTTATTCATTATTCCAAATTGAACCAACGAAAGTCGATAGAGTTTATGATATGCTTGTGAAGAAGGGCATTGCTGGTCCCTTGTGACCCCAGAACCAGATTGTGAAGATTCTGCACTTCCCATATTCACTCCAAACCCTCGTAAAAAATAAAACATACCTGTACAACAGTATAACTGCCCAGGGGGTTAAGGGGAGGAAATAAGACGTGGAAGGGTGTCTATGCTGGGGAATTAAAGGGATAGGGATTGTGTACGACTACGACTTAACATGACAAAGATTTGTGATTTTTTTCTTCTGTACAGAGGAAGGATTTGGTAATTCCCTAGATCTGATGGGCTTGCGGGTCCGGTTAAGTTAGAACAAACTTTATAACTATTTTCCCTGCTTATAATTAGGGTATCATCCACTTTGACAATGCAGCAGCACTCGAGCTGGCTTCCTAGAGCTATAGACATGTACAAAAGCTGTCTTTTGGCTCATGTTTGTAACATTATTAATTTTTTAGGCTATAAATTTGAATGTTTTCTAGCAGCAGAGGAGCAACATAATTTGGAATTCAATCAATAGACTGAAAGAAAAGACGTCAATGGTAATTTATGTGTTGATTTACAATTCTTTATGGTACAGTTATTAATAAATCACCAAGGAATGGTTATAATTGACTGCTGAGATATGTCTCAGCAACATCTTATATAGGTCTCAAATTAAATCTGCAAAAGGAAAATACTTTTAAGCCTTTCTTCAGAAACCCTGCAGTTTCACCCAGCTGAAACACGATCTGTTGAGGAGTTGGTACTTGAAGCTGGCTGGAATATCGTTTGAACAAGGACAATTTGTTTCAGCTCCTGGTTCCTGATTATGTTTTTCTAACCGGTACAACTGTCTTCAGTTAAGACTGCTTATTGGAGCTGGTAAGCCACAATCCTATCCAGCGATGTCTTTCCACACTAACTACGTATCAGGAGCAGTAATTACAACAGAACCCGGAAATATAAAGTCAAAGACGGCAGCTACTTTCTAAGAAGAAAGCAACGTACAAGCTTACAGACTATGATCACTGCAGTTTATATGCAGAAAGCAATTGAGTGCAAAGGACAAAGAGCTTAATACCACAGCCAAAAGGCAGTTAGTAACTTCAGCACCACAGTTGATTTTACCCTCCTAAACTGAAACATTTGCCCTGTGCACCTGCATTTCATCGCTACCCCATATTTACATAAATCAATGGCAGCACTTATATTAGTGGCCTATAAAAAGAAAAAAAAAAAACCAAAAATATTGCAGTTGCCAACCTATTGATTTATACTTAATGCATTCTGCTGCTTCTATTTCTTTACAAATTTATGTTGGCTACCAGAGACACCCTCTGAAACTGTCTTGACCATTCCATGAGCATTAAAATTGCCAGCCTTAAACCCTTTGTCAACCAAATCATCTGCATGACGGTTACAGAGCCGTTTCTTCAAATTCAGGCTGTCCAAATCTTTTTGGTTAGCTGACAAGGCTGAATGGTGTTCTCTTTTTACACCACTTTCAGATGCTTCAAGCTTGGACAAAACATGAACTTGGGCTTCTGGTAATCTGGAGCTGTCATGCGTAGATGTCTCACTTGAAGTTGACATTGAGAGCTTCAGAGTGCAACTAACAGTAGAAGGAATGACAGAGAGTATATCACGTTTTGCCTTTACTTCTATCCATTTGTTATCAACCCAATCTCTTGAAGGTCGCAAATCCTTTCTCTGCAATGTTAAGAACTTGTTTTCACCTAAAAATCAAATGCAAATTCATGAGATTCTCCATCATGCTGACAGAACATGATCTACGAACATATGTAGCAAGTATATTCCTCTCTTCTACTGCCAAATTCAGCCACAATTAGAACTAGTACCTCAATTCACTCTTAGGTACAAAGACACTATTGTCAGGTCATATACATAGCCAGATAAATAACATGTAAGCTCTTAAAAAACAAATCTATCTGTTCCAGAAGTTGAATTACCAGGGGAATACACTTGAACATTATCACCTCCAGAGATGTCCAACCCAATTATAACAGCTTCCCACCAGCCATCTGACCACCATGCATCAACTGCATCTCCAACCTCAAAAGAACAGTCAGAAGAATTATGAGGAGGCCAAGGCCTTACAGTATGGCAGCCTGCAAATCTCATCCCCAGTTCATCAGGAGTTGCCACTCTAGATGCAGGAACCCATTCCTGCAACATACACCACAAAAGAAGGAAGTTATGTTTCTATGCAAAAAGCTGAAATCATGGTTCTAGTCTGAAAGGCTAAAAACAAAGATGATGCAGCTTCTCTAACTGTTAATAGATCATTAGATATTGTTATCTTCTAACTTCTGCCTTACATGATTGTCCTTGAAACTTTCATTTGGAGATTAAAACAACAGCAGAGCAAGTAATCCCAGTCATTAAATGACCAAAGAGAACCAAAATATGAATATTAAGGAAGAACTAACAATTTTATGCTTCACTATACCTCTAATTTTCCAGGTCCATCAACATCCTGGATGTCACAGTATTGAACTTTTAAGGACTTTTTTGATGTCTGCAATATTTTACACCTGAACCAACAACCTCGGATACCACTATCCTGGCAGAGGAGTTCTATATTTTTTTCATCATCTTCAGAAGATGATTGAGAGGGTTCAGCCCCAACAAGATTAATAGAAGCTTTATTAGATAATTTGATTTTCAATTTTCGATGAGTTGGTTCACATCTTTCCATCTGCTTTCCAGGGATCAAATTTGTCACACCAAAATGGTTTCTCCTTCGACTTCTTGTCCTTCTAGTACCTTGCCTGGTGGAGTCTTCAGAGTGAAAATCATTTTCTTCCTCGGTTGGTTTATGGACCTTGGCTTTATTCATTGAATCATGATGATGATTTAATGAGGAGACGATTGCTTGGTTATCATAGCCTCGCAAATTACTCAGTGAGAAGGTCTCAATTTTGTTGTTTTTGACTTCTCTGTGACACACATAGATCCTTGATGACAACTTTTCAGGGAAAAGAGCCAAACACTTCTCGAAGTGGTTTGGAGTTAACACTGTGACAACTTGATCTATACACTTTGCAGTAATCCTCCGAACATAAGGAGTGATGAATATTTCTTCCGGATGTGCATTTAACTCAGGAATTACTTGCTTGACTTCCTGATTGTGCCGAAACCATCGCACTTGAGCCATTTTCTCACCCTTCTTATCCTCATACAAATCTTCCAAGTAACCAAGGTAGTGGTTTCCTTCTTCAGCCATAATGAGCACAAAGGAATAAACCTGGACAAGAAGACAAACTTACTCATAGCTTTCTTTTTTTTGTGCGAATGCAATTGAGACAAAAAGTACCAGTTACTAGTGACTACTCACCGCTATTGTTGTTTTTTTCCTGCATAACGCTTGATAGTGTTTGAGCTCCTTAGAACAATTCCAAGCTTCACCAGACCACATGATATCTGAATCTTGAACTCTAAATTTTCCAGAAACCTGGACCTGAAAATAAGTTTTTCTATAAGCCATGCGAAATGAATAACTGATAATACACAAGAAAAATCTTAAAATTGGATCAATACCATAATATGGCAGTTACAACCTGATCCATCGAATTAGTCAGATTATGAAGACCAGCCATTGAGTATCCAGGTGACCTCAGACGCAGCCTCGATTCAATCATCTGATGCTCTGTCCCAAAGATAAAAGGGTTGCTCACTCAATTCAGAGGAAATGTGTAACACAAATAAAACAATCACCACAAAAAGAAAACAAAAAAAACACATAGTTTGGTATTTATTCAGGTCAATTTCAAGAGAGTTCACAATTATGATCTGCAATCACACATTAGCAGGAGAGCAAACATTCTGCTAAATCTTGTTCCATTTCTTCCCAACTTCTGAAATTATAACCGCCTCAACTCCATTTTTTTGTCCCACACCCCTCCACCCTCCCTTCCCCAGAAGTGCCCTTCCAAATGAGGGAAAAATTAAAAATTAAAGACAGACAAGGAAAAACAAACCAATAATATCTTGCAAACATTAGGAACTCAGGTTTCAGATAATGAAAAGGCAGGCCCAAGTGAGAAATACAGATCAGATAATCACTTGCAACATGCCAAAACAAAATAGCATTCAACAAGTGCTCATGCACATTCTATTGCAAAATGCTTCATCTAGAAATTTACCATGATTATTATTCTTGCACAAACATCCTATTTCCTATCAATTGCTGTGATCACCATCTACTCTTGACAAATTACCATAAGGTACATGTATAGTGACATTGATCCGCACAATTTGCTGCTTACTCTGCTATTCACCTGTATCTCATTCTCAAATTTTCATATAAACACTACTCTGACTGGTACTACTAACCATAAAGGCTGTTTAACAATTGACCACTCCTAGTTATAGCTATCTATATTGTTGGTAAAATTTTGCTAGAGATAGATCAAGAATGTAGCATTGAGATCTTGGCACATCGCTTGAGAAATGTAGAAAAAAAAATGCCCATCACAATTTAAAGAATTTTAAGGGTAAATGGAGTAAAATATCAACTTGCATGGATTGCCTAATTTCTGGAAGATTATGCTGGATCAAAACTGACTTTTAAATGCAAATGCAGATACAACTACAGAAAGACAATATACTTCATCTTCCTGATCATCTAAATGTACTTGCTCAAATCTCATTCTGGAAGGCAAGGTTCTCAAAACAACTTCCCCACCCCAATTAAAGCATCTACAAGACGCAATGTTTAATAAGCTACAACACTTAATTGGTTCAACATTAACAATAGAAGTACAGAGAATAACGAGTCAGATAACAGGTAATCTGTAGCCACATATACATAATACTAGTAATACAGGAAGGCAAGGACAACTATCATTGATTACCAATATTTGGTACAAACAAATCATTTGTGGCAAGCAACATAAAACATTAAAAGGATATTAAAGGGATGGAAGAGGTAAACAAATCAACAAAAGCATATTAAACAGTCAAGAAACGAATACAAGTAGTAACTCTTTTTTTTTTTTTTTTGGAAGCAGGGTAATACAAACTTAATCTCAATAGCAGGGCTCATGAATTATGAACCTAAGAATATACAGCAGTATGCTAACTTTACACACACTGATGTTATGAAGTATTAGAACTGCCCTATTGAGAAGAAGTTAGTTAGCCACATTACCCTTTCATGGGGCATTAATTCTTTCTTGGCACTTCTTTCTGTTTAGATTTGTTGATTTGAGGAAACATCAAAATAATGCAAAGATTAAGAGAACCACAACTCTCATTTATGAATTCTTTACACACAAAAACTGGCCATTTTTCTGAAGATAATAATTTCCAGGACAGAGGACATGGATAAGCAATAAAAAATCTGCATAAAACCTGCTAATACCCAGGTAATAAGATAGCGTATTATTCTCATTTAAATATGGTAAGTGAGTCAATGTCAGTCAAAGCCAGTCTTCAGATGACCTGGTACTTTGTTTATACCTTACATAAACAAGCTAG